CAGGGATCCTGTAGAACAGTGGTCCCCAACCTTGGGCCTCCAGATGTTCTTGGACTTCAACTCCCAGAAATCCTGGCCAGCAGAGGTGGTGGTGAAGGCTTCTGGGAGTTGTAGTCCAAGAACATCTGGAGGCCCAAGGTTGGGGACCACTGCCGTAAATTACCACCCCTTTCCAGTTATAGCAGCTCCACTGGCTGCTGATTTCTTTCCGGTTTGAATTCAAGATGTTGGTTCTAACCTAATAAAGCCCTAAATGGCTTGAGTCCAAGCTATCTCAAGGACGGACTCTCCCTTTACGAGCCTGCTCAAGTGTTGAGATCATCGGTGCGTGTGTGTGCGTGTGTGTCTTTCTCTCAGTCCCAACACCCTCACAGGAGAGAAGATAGAAGGTCATGGCATTTTGACTGCCCGGGAGTCACTAGAGCACAATTTCACAAACTTGAAGGCGAAGGAACGAAACGTTCTGGAGGGAATAGAGGATCTTTGCTGCTAGTAGGTTGGTTGGGGGATTCTGGGCTTCGTAGTTCCCTGGGAAAAAAAAATACCTTCCCAGGTTGTTGCAGGGGGATTCTGGGCTTCGTAGTTCCCTGGGGAAAAAAATACCTTCCCGGGTTGTTGCACACTGGTTAGGCCCCATCTTGAGTACTCTGTCCAGTTGTGGACACTGCACTTCCAAGAAGGGTGCTGATAAGTTGGAAGAAGTTCAGAGGAGAGCAACGAGGATGATCGGGGGGGGGGCCTGGAAATCAAGCCCGAGGAGGAAAGATTGAAAGGACTGGGCATTGGAAGACGTTCAGAGGAGGGCAACGAGGATGATCGGGGGGTGGGTGGGGCTGGAAATCAAGCCCGAGGAGGAAAGACTGAAAGGACTGGACATGTTCAGCCTTGAGAAAAGAAGACGGAGGGGAGGTAGGATAGCCCTTATCGAATCCTTGAAAGGGGGTCCTACAGTGGAGGGGCAGGATCTGTTCTGGATCATCCCAGCGTGCAGGACACGTTATGATGGGCTCAACTTACAGAAAGCCAGATTGAGGCTGAAGATCAGCAAAAATGTCTTAACTGTTAGAGCAGTACGACAACGGAAACCATGACCTGGGGGGGTCAGTGTACCGACAACGGAGGCATTCAAGATAAATTTAGACACCCATTTGTCAGATCTGGGTTTGGCTTTCTGCCTTGAGCAGGGGAGGTTGACTTGATGGCCTTAAGAGGCCCCTTCCAACTCGATGATCCTAGGATTCCAGCTCCTGACTTCACGACAGATGGGAGGATGATTGAGAAGGTGCTGCCGTGGCCTTCGTTTCACCTCTGTGGCCACCCACACAACATCCGGTCCAGAATTAAGGGGTCTGTGATGCAGGAGAGGGCACCACAACACGGCTGCGGTCGGACTGCGGAGAAGCCCTGGCAAGTCCAAGAGGCCAGGTTGTTTGTTGAAAGGATGATACATGGCTTCAAGGAAACACAGGGAAGGATGTATTACTATATTCTCAGCTTCCCCCCCTTTCTTTTCTAAAAAAGAGTCGACTCAGCCTTGGCACCAGGCGGGCACTTCTGCGCTCACGGTCCCTCTCCCGCTGCGGAGCCTATTAAAATGCCAGCGCCTGAAAGACGAGGGGGGGGGGTTGTGGGAACCGCACGCCAGACTTCCCAAAACAGACCATCATTTAAAAGAGGCTTCCCTCAAAACAAGCCGAGAGCGCGGACCAAAATAGCCGATAGGGTGGCGATGGAAGGAGGGGGGCCCTTTTTTGTTCTGTTCATAATTTAAAGAAGCCAAGCAATGAATTGAGGGACCGGGGGGGGGGAGGAGGAGAATGGGAATAAAGAATTCCTCCCTCCATGCTGAAAACAGCTGAGGTCGAAAGGTCAAAAGACTTTCTGATTAGCCGGGGTTTCGGGATCAGGTACCCATAGGTGCCTTCAGAGCGTATTCAGAAACTTCACAGCCGCTGGTCCTCCCTCCATGGTGAAAATGGCTGAGGTTGAAAGGTCAAAAGACTTCCTGATTAGCCAGGGTTTCGGAATCAGGTAACCATAGGTGTCTTCAGAAACTTCACAGCCGCTAGAAGGAGAATGGGTTTCCCTGGGAACAGTGTGCAGGCTGTCCTTATCATAATGCAACATAGGAGGGTAGATTCCCTGTATATGTAAGCTTCCAAGGCCACCCGCCCTAGTGGATGCTGAAAAATGCAGATTATAGCAAACCCAATTATATGATCAAATACTATACATAGCATGGTCTATGTCTCCCTCTTGTGGCTAGTTGTGGGTATTATGGCTCCCTCTTGTGGCTAGTTGTGGTAATGACATAATAAAAATATATATTTCTCTAGTAAATACTATACATAGCATAGTCTCTGGCTCCCTCTAATGGCCAAATACGAGATGGATCAACCTCCTAAAGGAAGCCACAGTTTTGAGTTTGCAAGACGTGAGCGGGGCCGCCAAATCATAGGGGTGCCAGAAGATAGCAGAGGCCTGATGGTACGTCGCAACAAAATACTAGCAGATTGCAGTGAGCGGACGCTGAGTTTATGCCTATGAATGAGGATCTACTGCCTCAAACGTAAAATACAAAACATGGCTTTCGGAAATCCATTCCGCGATAGTGCGGGAGCCAGAACCCCCGGCTTGGTGGCAGAAGCCCCTAAAACTGGTTCCCACCAATGGAGATTTGCCAGTGTGAAATGCTCCTCGTCCGTAACAAGAGGGAACCAGGATTGCACTGAGATCCGTGGAGGAGGAAGAGGAAGAAAAGCATGAATGTTTCATATCACCCAATACTTATTCTTGTTGCAGAAGTAATTCGTTATGAATCTTGCCCTGCTTGTCCTTCTCTCGTTGCTGTTCCTATGACTCTTTTTAAAAAGAGACTTTCAACTTGATAAAAGAATAGCCAGAAACGTGAACCATTCGTGTCACATAAAATTCCCCCAAGGAGGTCAAAAGAACTTTGGAAAGCAAGGAGGGTTCAAGTCATTAAGCTGGCTGGATAGAAAGCTCAGAGATTGAGGTCAGGCGTTGGATTCCCCACTGGGCCTCCTTGACAGGGGCTGGACTAGATGATCCCATAGGGTCCCTTCCAGCTCTGTAGATTGATCTAGCGATAGATCAATAGATCGATCAATAGATATATCGATAGATAGACAGACACCCTGTTCCCCTGAAAATAAGACCTAATCTGAAAATAAGCCCTAGTATGATTTTTCAGGATGCTCGTCATATAAGCCCTACCCCAAAAATAAGCCCTAGTTAAGTGAGAGCCTGCCCTCCAACCTTGTACAGCAACCAGATGACATGACTGCATTTGAATAAATGGAGATGGTTGTGCATGAAAAAAATAAAACATCCCCTGAAAATAAGCCCTACTGCTTTTTTTTGGGGGGGGGGACAAAAATCAATATAAGACCCTGTCTTATTTTTGGGGAAACACGGTAGGTTGGCCGGTCAATTCCTTCTACTGTGCATCTCATCTTGGATTGGGAACCGATCGCCAAACAACGATCCACTTCTCTGAAGCCCTAGCAGATGATCAACAGGGAATGGATTCTATTTCTGGATCATGGCTGAGCTTTCCAGCAAAGCGAGCCTCCTCGGCTCGGCTCCCTTGCCTGCTGCTCTTTGAGAGCCGGTCAAAACAATCAGTGGGGAGGGGGGAGTGAATTCTTAACACACACGCATTGGGGGGGAATTTGTGAAGTGTTGCTAGGTTTCCTCAAAATGCCTCGTGAGGAGAGTAGTCATGTCGGCCAAGGCCCTAATTGGTCCCCCAAGACTTTACGGATTAAGGATCGCAAGGGAACGGGTGGTGAAGTTGGGAGTGTGGGAGCAAAAGGAAACCAAGATTTATTTATTTTTGGCGGTGGCCACCTTCAAACCTACCATCCGGTATCCAAGTTCTTAGAATATACATTAGTAAAACTGAGATCAGCTACATTTGGCCCCAGGGGCCATTTTTGCACCCCTGAAAGACATCCAGCAGCCTCCAATTAAAAAAAAAATTAAGATATGTTTTTGCTTTCTTTTTAATGTATATATAAATCCTATTTCCACTCCGAGATTGACATTTTTTTCATCCTTATTTTTATCCCCAGCACCCCAGCTTTTAAAAAAGAGACAGCTTACGTCCACCACTTCTACAACTTTTTAAAATGGCTGGAAACAGGCATTTCTGAATTCAGGGCAGTGTGAATTCAAAATTTGAACCCGAGGCCAAATTTTGGTGCCCGAGAGAGCCTGCGTTTGCCCACCGAGCTCTAAACAGAATCATATAGTTAAAAATTAAAGATGGAGGGTCTTTAAAATCCACACCTTCGAAGGATACGACATGGTTTATTTTTATACACAGTTCTAAGGTGTAAAATCAGAATTGGCCACTAGGGGGAACAAGAAATCAATTGGTTGGAATTGCTTTTTAGGTGCCTAGGGATGGTGTGAACCCATCTACTCTGGCAATGTCAAAAATAACACAAAGCAAGAGGTCTTCTATCTAGAGCTTGGAAAAGTTACTTCTGGGGACTAAAATTCCCTCAGTCCTCTGCCAGTATGGCTACTGGTGGGGATTATGGGAGTCTTAGTCCAACCAGAGGATTCTGGAAAGTCCAAAACCAGGTTGTAAAATAGGCAGCCCTCTGCTGTTTCTTGTCCTCAGCATCTGATAGAATGCCTCAACACATGGAGGCTCTATTCCTAGCATTGCTAACACAAATGTAACAAATACTTCTAGATTTGGGCCTTAGCAATAACCGGCCCCCTTTATTGCATGCCCCCCTTTCTCAGGTAGAGTTCTCCTGAAGATGGAGGATTGCTACAGCCCTTGATGGGCCTTATCCTTATGATTTGCCGGAGCCTCTAGGAAAAATCCATCTGTCTTGGATGCGAAACATAACAAGGTGGCTTCCACACTACACCATAGCTTTTTTCCCCAACTCTCGTGAAAGCCGCCTAGAGATCTCATGTAATACTTAGCATGCTTAAGGGTTTTTGGGGAGTCCCACCTGTTGCTCAGCCACGCTGTCTGGGGACGATGGGAACTGCAGTGTGACAGATCTCAAGGCCACCAGATCGCAGGAGAACCTTAAATAATAAGACAGCCAGCAGTAACCCTTTGCTAATTCTCCCCTTTTTTTGCTCTTATGCAACCTCCCTTTGCCAAAAAAAAGGGGGGGAGGAAAACCCAGAAAAAGCAACCCTGATCTGTTTTTTTTTTAACCTTGCAGTAAAGGCTAATAATGCATCACCAACAAGGTTTAAAAAACTAAACAAAACGAGGTTTAAAAAAAGGCTTTTGAACCAGTTCCAAGAACGGCTTTGCCCGTTGAAGGTCTGAAGGAGTCACAAGTAGAGAACGGTCTCCCGCCCAAGTCTTAATTGTTCCTCTTGTCAGTTTCCTCTTGCGTTTGATCTACATTTTTATCTTCGTCCAGCAATCCAAAAATAAAAATTTAAAAAAAATTAAAAATGTGCAAATCCTCTTTTCACGCCACATAATTCGTCCAACTGCTTTTTTGGGGGGTGGGGGGGAATCTAAGATACTGATCAAATCCAATTAATCAAGCACACAAAGTATCAGCAAGAAGAACAAACGAAGTTGCCTTACTTCAATGCTATTGATTCTGAGTGGCCACAATGCTTCCCTAAGGCTTCAAGCAAGATTCTCCCTGAACCCTAACCCTGCAGATGTCCACAATAAAACTGCAGATTTCTCAGATCTGGGAAGTAACTAGTTACAAAGAACTCGGTCAACATGAACTACTTACAGTAAAACAAAGTTATAGTCATGTAACAAGGAGGGACAACAAAATTTTTTAGGTGTCGCGAGTAATATTTCCCAATTCATTTCAGAGGTTAATTTTAAATAATTGAAAGCATTATTTGGATAAGAATTATTCAGGACTTATGCCTTCCCTTTATCAAGCCAAAGTGGTGAGCCAAATATTCCTTGTCTTCCTCTTTTTATAAATAATCCCAAGGTGCAATATCAGAACTGGACACTAGAGGGAACCAGAAAGTAGTTATCCACATTTTCTTCGCTTGTTAAAAAGCTCCCTTCTTGCAAGGAATTTTTTACAGAGATTCCTCCCAGCCAGTTAAAAGGGTAGCTATGATTTTTATCTCCTGAGAAAAGAGACACCAGGAAGTAGAAACAGATGGATCACTTTTGATAGAGAGCCAGAAGAAATACATATCCTATTGTAAATTATATATATATATATACTGAGTCAGACATTTGGCTCATATCGACCAGCACGGCCAACTCTGATTGGCATCAACTTTTTGAAGTTTCTGATAGGTATTCCTTCCTAGCTTTCTGCATGGAAATTCAGGGTACTTCTTGGTCTCAATCCTGCCACCTTTTTAGGTGTGTTTGCTCCTTCTAAGTATTTGTATACTTACTGCTTTTAGTTTTAAATATTGTCTTTCAATGATATAAGGTGCCTCGGGTCCTTTTTAAGGGGAAAGGGAGGGTGAGAAAACATTTCCAATAAATAAATAAATTCCGTTCCCATGTTGAGGTTTGTGCAGAAGATTGAGAGACAACCCATTAAATTTATTTTGTCTCTCCTGTTCCAGACGTAAATTACATTTTTTTTTCATATTGGGTTACCTTTCTGTAACAAGAATAAATAACTCTTTAGGCTTACGGTTAATTTTAGACAGTCATTTCCTACCTTGTGTGCTTTATTTTAAATTTCCTATTACAAATGGAATTTTGATAAAAAGAGGTTGGGTGATGGGGGAACTGTGAATTTCGGCTAGCGTTTGCCAAATGTGCATCTGTGCAGTTATAATTTGCAAATTGGTGCACCTATATATGGCCTCCTCGGTTGGTGATGCATAAGGAGCTACTCTACAACAGCTGTTAAGAAAAACACCCAGAAATAAAAAAATCAGAACTTAGGAAGTTTAGAAATCAGAGGGGCAAGAAAAAAACTCTCTGCCCAGGTGGCATTTGGCAACTGTTAAGATCCTTGCCCCTTCACGGATTGCTGTCTTGTTGTGGTGAAGGGGCTTGAGTAATTCAGAGAAGCTATGGGCTATGCTGTGCAGGGACACCCAAAACGGACAGGTCATACTAGAGAGTTCGGACTAAACGCGATCCACCTGGAGCAGGAACCGGCAATTCCACTCCAGTATCTTTGCCAAGAAAGCCCCATGAACAGAAACAAAAGGTTAAAAGATATGACGCTGGAAGATGAGCCCCTCAGGTCGGAAGGC